ACCCCATTCACACCATGTAACGATGATGATGATGTATGTTCAGGGCTGCATTGAAATATTGATTGTTCGGATCATTGGTATCTAAGTCTTCCGCTGTGCTATCTTGTACTTTGTATTGAGAGGTCGGTTCTTGTTCTGGTCTGCACCGTTACAGTATGCAACACCTACCCTACACACGACTCTGTCATTTCAAGCGTTATTACTGAATATGGTCAGGCTTAGCCCCGTATACAGATCTTGTCAGATCATACCCTATTCTTGGGAAGTTTCTGCATATCACGCTTGCAAATACACAGATCAGCCGTTGAGGAGTCTAACTGATACCCAGTCCTAACAGAAATTAATCAGATTTTCAGAATTAATGGATTATAGCAAAGGTGATTACTACACCAACACCCTTTTATTCAACTAGATGGTCCATGCTGTTAATCTCAACCTTGATCATCTGATTTTCAGGATGTTGCTAGCTATCTATAATCTGATTACGAGGCTAATACCCTTGCATTCAGCTAACACTCTGTTATAATCTAAGCTACAACAAGTAGATTTTCAGAAGATGATTGGTTGCCTACTAGTTGATTACCTGGCTAATACCCCCGCATTCAACTAATCAATCTAATCTGATAATCTCACCATAACCCTATGAGATTCTGAGGTCTTTGCATTCTTCACCACTATGGACGTTTACCTCTAGCTAATACCTCTCCGCCAATATGGCTGGTAATTGGTTATGTAGCTTGTGGGTCCTCCCTCCCCGGGAGAGTAAGAATGCAATAAATCGCAGTTTCCCAGTGGGGCTGTACACTAAGTGTTTGGCTTTGTAGTTTGTTTTCTTGTTTTGAGCCTTGCGGGACTTGATCCCGTGACCTGTAATTTGTATGTTTTGTTTGTTAGTTTTGAGCCCTATGGGACTTGATCCCTAAGTTAGTCACTAATTGCAATCAGACTCACTTTCCTTTCCACTTTACATACATGCAAACAGTTGGCGATTCACACTGGCGCAGAGCGCCCACTCAAAGCTCAGAGATATGGAAGTCGAGAACACAGTTCAGATGCAAATTCACTTCAAACAAACTATGGCGCATCGGCGCCCGTGCATCCCAACCTTCGTCACTGTGTCCAATCCCACTGTTCGCACACGCTCACTCTGGATCTCCCTGAATACACCCACGCACACTGACTCAATATCCCACACACACGCTCACTACCAGCTACCTCTACTTGCGGCGGCGACGGCCGCTCGCCTCTACCGCTATGGCTACAATCTCGCTCTTCAGCCCAATTCGTCTTCGGGCAACCTGCAGACCACCTTTGCACAAGACGCTGTAGCAGCGCTTCCGCATGGCTTACGCAGCGAATGAATGAATGCTGGACGCTGCCTCTTGATTTATACTTCTGTAACTCGTTGGTCTGCCCCTTTCCACCAAGCCCTTGGTGCACGCAGTCCCACACGGTCCTTGCTTGACTGGACTGCGACTAACTGGGACTGGTACCGCTGACTGTACGGGGTTGCACTGTCGACTCAATGCAGCCGCACTGCCGACTCAGTGCCATTGGGCTCACCACTTGCCCACTTGCCTCTGACTAAACGTGAGACACTTTCGAAAGGCCACTTCCGAACCTTCCAGAAGTCTGTGGACTTTGGCCTTTCGAGGGTTGTAGCAGCTACGACCTTGACCTTTCCGGACTTTAGCAGCTACGACCTTGACCTTTCAGAACATCTACAGCTACGACCTACAGAGATGGGACCCTTACTCGACAGACCTACAGATCGAACCCCTACAACTACATAGACCTACCACAGACGACAAACAACTACCAAAACACAGGTCACAGGTTCAAACACTCGGGGGTCAACTCGATACTGTACATGGGCAAGGTAAGGTCTGGGGATCGAACTCTAGGGCCCTCATCTGTGACTGCAAAAATGGTGAAAACCGTTTCACTCCCGCCGGCCTAAATTCGAGGTCCTCCGAGAATATTTCAGTCTAAGGCAGGACCTTTACCCTTCTCATCTCTTTCTTAGGCTCTATCTATGTCGGGAGCTGTCTCTAGAAGTTTTGTGCCCATGAACAAGCGGTCGTCTTCGAGCTCTTGAAATGCAAATCGGACTTTGTATTGTTTTTGTGGACGACCTCTACCTCCTGTCCTGAAGACATCCTCACCTACTATCCCATCAATGTCATACCTTCCATCCATATCTGGAGGAATCATTGATCTGCGTGATGGAAACTGTTGACTTGTGACGCAAGGCAACAACTTTGACGCATGGAACACTGGGTAGGTGTGG